AAATAAATTGATTTTTTTTGCAACTTCCGCCTGCAACTAACTTAATTCACGTTTGCGCTGCTTCATTGTTTTTTGTTATTTTATTTTTTGTTTTACTTTTGCTTTGTCTTTTTTTTTATTATTTTTTTGTATATTTTTGTGTTGTGGCGTTGTAATAAACGGTTTCGGAAGTTTTAAAGTTTCGCTTAAAGAGCATTTATTCGTATTGTCAGTGTGCGTACTTTAACAACAAAATTTACCTTAATCTGCATTTCTTGACTAGCGACGAGAAATTTATAGAGCTCCAATTGGAAATCGTTAACTTCTTTCACAAGCATGTTCCTCAATTCCTGATCAGCTTTCAGTTTGTTGGCTCTTTCTTGTTCAGCTTTGCGCGCTGCATTCATGTCAGGTGTTGGCTGAGATTGCACTGACGGCGGTGGAGGTTTCAGGTTTAGCTGAACCTGTTATAAGAACGAAATTAAATTGCGAAATAATTTGTACAATGTTCAATAAAATTGCAGAGGCTGGTAATTTAGGTGCATTTAAAATAATAGTTTATGCATTATTACTTAGCAATCTTTGAGATAACCTCTATACAGGTTTTTTTTATTTCATAATATTTTATGGGGTGATTCCAACAACAACAAATGGAGTAACTATTACCATGGAACCTATTTAAAAATTTGCTTTCCTATATTTCATACATTTTGGACGAATAGATGTGATAACACTTAGTATATTTCATTATGATTTGATAAAATATACTAAATTATGTTATGAATAACGATGTGAGGTAGTAAAAGTTATTTGAGGCTATCAGCGCAAAAGTGGTGCAGCCCACATTTTTTTTCTCTATAATATTACTTTAAATGGTACTAAAGTACATAATTATGTTATTAAATAATATGAAATAAAAATGTCACCAATAAATGAAATGTAATAACGTACTATAGCTGTGTGCTTCCCGTTTTTTATTGAAACCACTCGATATCATCCAGTGCATACCGTGGATAAACAAAAGGATAAAACCAAGTCAGTCAGTTTTATAACGATCACAGATCCACTTGAGAAACGTGCCTATTGTGGCAAATTCTCGTTATTTGGTGAAGTACACGTTGCATTTCAGATATATACAAATATAGAACATAAAAAGTACGTGTTTTTGACAACCAAAATCATAAGGCATCAAAAGCATACTAACCTGAGGAGCTGGGTTAAATAGCGATGGTGAAGCAGCCACAGGAGGTGCCGACTTCACTTCAACCGGTTTTGGCTTTTGTTCAACCTTCGGCTGGGCGGATGCTGAAAAGCGAATTTTAAAAAAGATTAATACAAAATAAGCCAAAGAAATGTAAAATATTTAAAAAAATGTGTTTTATTTTCTCAAATTTTCAATAACGTGACCGCAAATAGTAAACAAGAACTTAAATATCATCTTCAGCATCAGACTACTATGAAGTAATTAAACAGTATACCGAAGATTATTTGTAATCTTATAGTGAATCTATCCATTTAACAATCCATATGGTGGAGTGTCGCAAACTCCTTGGTTACACTTTCGCTGTTTTTGTTTAGCTAGAAGCATCGTGTATATAGCCAAAGTTAGAAGCCAGCTAGTTCTGCCAATCAAGTCACGGGATCGTTCCTTCTATCCTCTAAGCTTCTACCAACAAGTATATCACGATTAATAGACAATGCCAGCGTGCAACCCCTACTATTAAAGCAAGGAGTTCGCAATATGGAGAAATAAAAAAGGCAAAACTGAATATTAGTCAATTAAAAAAATAATAATATACAGGGTGTCCCACATCTACGCGACACGAAGCCAAAATTATATAGTAGATAAAAAAGGAAAAATCTTTATTTTATTTTTAAAAGTAAGTAACATTGTAAGTATTGTACATATATTCTGTAATTGAACGGTGTTTCATTAATTTAAAATGTTATGTTACTTAAAACGAATTAACAATTGACACTTTCGATTGGCATCACAAAAACACAGAATATTTCTTTTTCACATTTGATTGGTTCGATTCCCAGACTAGACTAGCAACTATAAAAAAATCTTTGAAAGCATTATTACTTACTTTTACAAATATTTGTTATTGTACACGAACAATAAATTGACCCTTATATTCTTACTCTACTCTAGATATATGAAACGGAGTTATTTATCCATCCACATAAAAATATATCAAATTGTTTAACTGTAAAGTGAATAAGTCTAAATATTTATTTCATACTATATATTGTACCACGCTAAATTCTTTAAAAGGAAACATAATATCTTTCTAGTCCATTCTACTGCATAAATGAAAAGGTTTACCTGCAGAAAGAGCTTGTCCAAATTGCGACTGTGCCGCCGAAAAAATACTCGTAGGAACACCAAACATTGTATTTTGTGTGGTTTGAATCGGTTGAGTTATGGCCTGCGGCTAGAATGGTAACAAATCATGAGTTTTTAATGAATACTTAGATAACAGACGTCTTAAATGTGCTATAGAATGCAAAGTACTATTCTACTGCCCCGTGCGTATGTAACGAGAGATTTTCCAGTATAATAACAACATAATATAAGAATTATACGAGAAAGTTATTTTCATCGTTCGTTACATTATAATACATTTTGAGATACTGATATTTTTGGTATCTTATTGATCAGATTTAAGATAAGCATCCACAGCAAACTATTTAGTAGTAATGATGCCGCTTAGTGGCGTAATGGGCCGAGTCTGCCTGCGAAGCCTGGGGTCGCGCGGTCTTGAGTTTACATCCCAATTAATTTTTTTAGTTTTATGTACAAATATGTTTAAGCACCTATGGTTTTACTACTCGTATTTGGTTGAAAAATGTGTTTTTTTTTTGTTTATTTTATTTATTTGGGAAACATACAGCATCATATAATATATTTCATTATAACACGTATGGGGTGTAAGGGGCGCCACCCAACACCTACGATGCTCAATAGCCAACCTCACCTGCACGCGGACACGATAGCCCTGAAATCCGGCAACTTGTTCTACTTCAGGGAAGGTGAGCGCAGTCCCAGGGTGGTGTCGGGTTTGTCGTCAACAAATGGATGGAGATGGAGGGATGCGTACCCTATACTCAGAGTATCCATGCGCTACTCGCTGAAGGTCATACAGGTCTACGCACCGATCTCGACACACCCAGATGAGGAGGTAGAGGCTATGTATGAGGACATCAGTCAAGCCTGCATACCTCCCAAACACACTTCAATGTTGTCATAGGGGACTTCAACGCCAAACTGGGCAGTCGAACGGTTGATGAGACGTGAGTGGAAAAATTTGGTTATGGGCATCGAAATGCCAAGGGCCAAAGGCTGGCCGACTTTATGAAAAAGGAGGGACTCTTTATGATGAAGTCCTTCTTCCAAAAACTGCCTCAAATGAAATGCACCTGGTTAAGTCCCGATGGTGTCACAAGGAATGAGATAGACTTTATATTGACCGACAAGAGAGATATTCAACAATGTTTTGGTGATCAATAGGGTGAAAACTGCCTCTACAACGGTGCCATTTGCACATTGACTATCGATACATCGAAGTGTTTGTACTGACGCCACTATGTCAGTTCGACTCTAGGACCAGTGCTCAAGGTCTATCCAATAGCAAAGAGGAGTGCGACAGGGAGACGTAATTTCTCCGAAACGTTCACCACTGCATTGGACGCCTTCAAGTTACTGAACTGGAAAGGACTCGGCGTCAAAACATCAATGGCGAGTACATCACTCACCTTCGATTTGCTGACGATATTGTGGTCATGGCAGAATCGTTGAAAGAGCTTGGCACCATGCTCGGTGACCTCAATAGATTCCCAGCAGGTGGGCCTAAAAATGAACATGGACAAGACGAAACTTATATCGTATGTCCATGTCGTATCCAGCCCAATAACAGTGGGAACCTCTACTCTCGAAGTTGTTAACGAGTATGTCTACCTCGGACAAACCGTCCAATTAGGCAGGGCCAACTTCGAGAAAGAGGTCAATCGTCAAATCCGACTCGGTTGAGCAGCTTTCGGGAAGCTCCGGGATGTCAACTCGTCCGCAACAACGCAGTCCTTGAAGACAAAAGACTTCGAGCAGTGCGTGTCGCCAGCGATGACCTACGGCTCTGAGACGTGATGGCTTACTATGGGCCTCATAAAAAAGCTCAAAGTCACTCAACGAGCTATGGAGCGAGCAATGCTCGGCATTTCTCTACGTCAGGGGTTCCCAAACTTATTTTGTCTACTGCCCACTTTGAGAATAAATTATTTGTTAGCGCCCCCATTTTTTCACCTACTTAAAAACCACTATAACTTCAAATTAAATTAATTATTGTGAGCTAGATTAGCGGAGATTAAACATTCATTCTAAACGAGACCTTTACTATAACCCGCAAGAATTAACTTGAGGCCTGAGCGCAGTAGGTAGTACACAACGGCGCTCAGGTCTCAAGTTAACTCTTACGGGCTACACCTGCCAATGAGAATGATTATTGAAACGCAACTTTATATTATTCAGACAGAGTATCTTTTATTCAAAATAACATAGTATATAAAAGAAACATAATCGATTCTAATATAAAAACTAATGTGAAGGATGAATCTGACGCAGTTTAATAAGTTTATTGTTATCAGTTTCCAGTTTACTCAAGAACAGCCGCAAGTCACCACGTTCGGTAACATGCAAACGATTTCTCTTTTTAATAAGCAACGTTGTCATAGCACTAAAACCACGTTCACTATGTTCAGCAGTGGACGTCTTCCAGCTGATATGGTGATGATTATGACATATGAAACAAACACTAGTCAAAACAGTTTCCACTGATGTTCAGAATTAGTTACATTATGCATTGGATAGACAAATTTGTACATGGCTATATATAACCAGGCAACAACTATAATAATATATAAACATAATAATTACCACTAAGCAACAAATTATATATCGCTTTTAATTATAATTTATATGTATTGAATATAACGATGTTAAACTACTATGTCATTCAATTATTTTATGTGAAATCACTCCACTAGTATGTTACAATTCTTATTAATACAAAGATCGTACGGTAAGAAAAATTCCTTCGATCGATTAATTATGGTAGTAAAAGCTTCCTAATGTCATTTTATTATTTAATCCTTTTTAGCCTATGTTATAACTATTTAAGTGTAATATTCGGTAAGTACTCGTTGTCTATAGTAAAGTTTTTTTTTTCTGTATTGATTAATATTGTAATGACTGTTTGTACATACCAAAACAAATTAAAAAAATTCCAATTTATAATTTAATTCCAACATGATAAGTTGCCTAGGTATGATCGGAAATGTATTTTGCAAGAAATCAAATAATTTAATTCACAGTATTAGGCTTTCAAAAATTTGCAATCAATCTCGTGTCGGTTTGAAATGAATGCATTACATATTTATACATAAACATGCTTCACACTCTTTTATCATTGGGATAGACAACTTTCCACTTGCTATAATTCTGACAAATCCTTTCGTCTCATCAACACGCATCAGTGTTTTTTCAGGATGACCTTATTTTGGTCGTGCTAAATTCGCCTTGATCGGGCCGTACGAACTTGCCCTTAATGCAACTCAAGATATCTCATTGTTATACAGTCAATTTGCCTTGGCTTTACAGTTTGGGGCAGTTCTTATTATATGTACGAGTAGCATAAGAGTTATATTTAAAAATTAAGCGTGACGCTGAGCCTGTTGTTGACACACATCACATCAAATACAAGCGATTGCAAAGACAGTCGAAGTAAATAAAAAATATGTTTCACCCAATCACAATGATCTCATAAAAAAATGTCAAAGTTGATACACGGAAAGATTCCTACATGAACAAATTTAAGTAAATAAAAATGAAGGTACCTTTGAGGGTACATGTTGCACCACAGGCTTTGGTATAACAGGTTGTGGTGCAACAGGTTGTGGCGTAACTGATTGTGGCATAACAGGTTGTGCTGCAACGGGTTGTGGTTCAGTTGGTTGTGGTAAAGTTGGTTGCGGTGCAGCTGTTTGAGGCGCCGGTGTCGGAGCTACGGAAGTAGTTGTCGGTTCAGGTACGTCACTAGGCAGTTCACTGCATAACAAATAAATAAAATATAAATGTTAGATACATATTTTCTTCTTCATCTACTCTTTTGTCTTTTTTTATGATACCAAATGACGGGACGAACAAGTAGTGCGTCTGGTGGTAAGCGACACGGCTGTCCATAACAGTTGCAGTGCCGCGGCAAATTCGAATATTTTTCACTTCCGATAGAAAGTGTTCTGGGTGTGATTATCATTTATTTGGAAACCTCGAAGCCAAGACGTATACTTTGGCCAGACAGCTGGTGTCCTACCTGATGCGGAGCACTTTCCTATGTGATATTCACCAAATTCTTCCCATTATTATTCCCCTACATTAATTTTACGCACCCGCTCTTTTTCTATGTCAAAAATGACGTCAAAAAGCAGAAAATTGACAGGTATGGCGGGCATCTCGGAAAATGGCGGAATCAAAATTTCAACCGCAGATTCGTATTTTAGGGCTTAAATTTCAATCGAAGCACTTTTTTTCAGAACCGTAAGGTTCGAGGACACATTTATGAAAAAAAAAACCGACCTCAAAAGTGCGTGGAAGTACATCTATTTGTCAAGTTTTATAGAAATCGGTTACCGGAAAATACGTGAAACCGGATATATCCATAGTTTGCAAACTCTAGAGGTTGAATATTTTCTTCAAATGTAAATGGGACCACTACCGAGGTACCTTCTTTACAACAAAAAAAAAAGAATCAACAAAATCGATTCACAAATGCCGGCAGTTATCGAGTAGCATACATACAAAAAAGTCTAATTGAGTACATCCTTCTTTTTTTTAAGTCGGTTAAACATATGAGACTTTTTTGTTATTTTCGAATGGTAATGCTACATATATATAATGCTATACATATACGTATATTGTATACAGATATGTGTATTTTGGCATTTATACTACACATAAAGTTTGTAGTACAGAAATACTAACAACAACATAAGTACATAACTACCAACACCATACCTAGTCATTGAAGTCCCGGGTAGAGCAAATTGCTGTGGCGGTGTGCACAGTGCAGGAGCATCTTTCTTCAAGTTAATGACGTTGAATATCGTCAATAAACCCGTCTGCGATAGCACCAGAAGTAGGGGCATGTGGGGCAGCATCTCATTTTCACCTAATATAAAGATTATATTAATGACTATGACAAATTCATAGCGAAAGCTCAACAAAGCTCTAATAAAAGGTTAACCAAAGCAACTAGCTTAAAAGATCGGATGAGACAATTACACTAATTAGATTTTGGCCCACTAGATAACTCACTGTTCTGCAGTGCCATACAAACGCAACGCAATTTGGTTTTATTAAAACTCCGTTTTTAACAAATTTTCGATGCTTATAGGGTTCACTATGCAATTTAATCGTTTTACCTATTGCCATAGCAAATCACTGATTGAAGGGCAGATTATAATATGTGAGTGGTCTTTAGTAATTTCTTTATGATCGACGCTACCTACCTTAGCTATATTAAGTTTCTTTAACATGCCAAATGTGTTGCCAGTCGTAGCATAAGATCATAAGTCTCTGGTACCTGATTTTGCACTGGCTGGCTTTCGGGTAGAGTAATTGTCACTTACCCCAAGGCAACTGATGTAAGGCGCAAGTGTCGATACATAATCCAACTGGATAGTTCTCTATTTTCTTATCCGTTAGTGGTAATTCTGGCCTTGCTTCGTCACTCTGAAATAATGCAAGTTTTTATCATTGATACAAAGGAACAACACAAAGAAAAATTTCTTCGATCTGACTATAAACGAATCAGCGTCTGTTCCCACACAGGGGCAACCGTTCTTACCAAATGAGCTGAATCAGGTCAATATAAAAAAGGCGTTAGTGACTTTAGGGTCCACTGAAAATCAGCGTCACGGCCTTTCCTGGCGGTGACATTAGCTGAGTAGATCCTTTTACATATGCCACAGCTGCACACATGACATCTACTTAGTAAACAATATTGTTGACTATCTTTGTCGTCATTACCTATTACTAAGATTTTATTTTTAATTGATTTTATTTAAATTTTTTGGTTATTCTATTTTAGTTTTGTTTTAATTGAGCTTTATCTTTTTTTTCTATTCTAATTTAAGAAAAAGTTACGAAAACAAAGTTCACAGTTCATAGTTGCAAATAGTGTGACCACCCATGGGAGTTTTTGGATCTATTACAGATTACAATCACAAATGAAAAATAACGAATTTTGCCTATATGCGTACTTGACACCATTGATACCAATTTGCTCCATCAGTAGAACCAAGAGTTGCAATTTCCATACTGTTTGATGAGGCCGTGAGGATCAAATTCCTGAAATATAATTTGTTTTATGTATAGTAGTCATTAATCTTGTATTCAAATACAATCTCAGTTTGCAAAAAGCGGAAAGTTACTTAGATGGTTCATAAATGATAATTGTAATCTGGTTAGTTTTATTTTTAAATAAGAATATTAGTTTTAATTATTAGTTATATAAGTGATGCACCCTAACAATCAAACTTGAAAGTTGGTTTGATGTTTCTCAATTGCGTTTTTCAAAAGCACAAATTTCTGAATTCCAGAACTTGAAATGCAAAGAATTGTTTTCACAATGAATTATTGACAACCTTCAATCTTGATGGTCAGGACTACAGGTAGTCATACATCGCTTTTAAGACGGACAGTGCGTAATAATAATAATAAATGCAAAAATCGGTGTTGTTCAATACTAAAGTCCCTGACCCCGGCCCCGACTGTGCCATTGCTGGGGATTATCACCTCTCCCATTTAAAAAATCAAAACTTATCTTTTAGATCATGCGAGGGTGAAAAAAATTATATCCGAAATAATAATAAGAAATTAATTTATATTTGTCAATATACAAACACAGGTTTTATAATATTGCTGCAAAACATATGGTAGCATTAGACCGCCCCATTTCATAGCAATACCTAACTTTCATTTCACATAAGACTACGAGAAAGGATGTATTTGAGAGTTAAATATGTACCATTGTGGTAATCCCTGCAGATAGTAATAACAAGGTCTGTTAGACCCCATGCTGTAACAAATGTCCTCATAATTGAGACACGTTGATGGTCCAGCCTTTGGTGTGTTTACTATTGTCACTGCTGAAAAAGTAAATAAAATAAAACATATGGACACAGTTCTTATCATTGAATCCTTATTGTTCATATACTTTATTAATTTATATCCTGCTATATAAATTCGGCTGTCATTTTGAAAAAATGTTTAAAATTTTATCAAAGTCTTGAAATCCGTTTTGAAATGTTTGTCTATAAACGAATTAACTTGTGTCCCTATTTTAATACATAATAGTACTAGGCCTTTTTAACTAACACATGAGAGAGAAAAAGAGTTGTCCCCTGACTAACTTGGAATACAAATACAAAATGCTTTATTTCTCTCAGAAACCCTTTCCCTCTGTGCTGGGTTAATATCAATAAAAAAAATACAGTTTTTGGCTTGAAGACCTGCCATCAGTAGACCAGACCAGATCAGACGAGTTGGAAGATATTATATAGAGTGTCCAGTGTCATATCTTCCCTGAATTACACAGCACATGGGCTATTTTGAGTCTCCAAATAGAGTTTATCCGCTGCCAAAAATTTCTCATTCAACAAAATTCCAAAATTCCAATATTTTAGTTCAGAAAAAAATTATAGCTGTTTTAAGGGCATTTAAAATTTTCTTAAGCTACGATTGCATTTTGGAAAAGCGGCAAAGATATATAAATAGTGGTTACGCTGGTTATAATCACATTAGCAAAAATTTTTTTATTATTATTAATTTAATTTGCACGAGCTGTTCGGTGACGGAAAATGCAGTGCAATGCATTTGCAAAGCAATTTAATTATGTGCGTTAAGTTCTCAATCCACAATCGACCAGCGTGGGAACTACAGCCCCAGCCCTCTCATTGTGAGAGGCAGTCCCCTGTACCCAGCAGTGGGACTATATATACTCTATTATTATTTTATAAAGTAATAATAATTTTTGTAATTTAAATGTAAAATAAAAATCAAAGAAGTTTGAAGTAAGTTTTCTCCAAAACAATACAAAATTAGCACACAGGAATTCCCATCACTTCACTCGAAATATCTGGTCTGACAGGATTTTTAAATACTATCCATTTCACAACAGATAGCAAATAGTTGTGCATCCTAACTCATTGCCCCACATACTGTTGCTGCAAAATAAAATGGTTCAAAGAAATGGTTACCAATGCCATTATTTTCAGTATTCGAAGCTTTCTTATATACAACAGCAAACTGAAAAGTTGATATCCAGTATATAGCAAGAGCTTCTATAGGGGCTCCTTCAAAGATATTTGGTGCTGCTACATTCTTGGCAAGTGTCAAATCTGGTTTGTATTGACTAAGTGTCCCATCGCTGTTTCCTGTTACCAGCTGTTTGCCTTTTGGACTCCAGCAAATGCATCTGTGAACAACAATCTATTTGAGATAACAGGCCAGTTTAATAAACTACAAGTAGCTATAGGCTGTCTTTTTTGAAGATGGAGTAAAATGACAGTTCATTGTGCAAAAGTGTTGCCTGCTTGCAAGCAGCTAGTGATTGCAGTTGATAAATATTATATCGACTATCGACTGAACGTCATTTACGCTTATGAAATAAATAGCCGAATTTATTTGATTTCATTCATAATCGGCCTATTATTCGTCCAACTGCTGGACACGGGTTCATTTGGGTTGTTCATTTTTGTGTGTATAAAAAATACAAATAGGAGACAAAAATTTTCATTTCAATTTAATATACATAATCAAATCCACCTGTCATTATTAAAATGTGTATGACAAATTGATTTTGATACTAGTAGACCAACTGTCAAAATAAAAATAAACAACACAATAACACAATTAGTAATCATTAGAACGTTGTGACATTTACAATATGGTAGATTTTTCACAAAATTGTACCTATTTTCGATAAACTCGACAACAATTACATACATGACTATTTCAAATTTTAATGAAAACAGGCAACCCCACAAAAGTAATTTTACTCCATCTTCAAAAAAGGCAGGCTATAAGGTTGGATACACAATGCACAAATTCTGACAATATATCTAGGGTCAGCGGACTAAAGCACAAGTCAAAATCCAACATCATTCATTTAAATTAATATCTATCTAATAAGATCTACTGGCAAAAGCACGTAAGTCAAATTCACTTGTTACTTCATAAATTTCGAACTTTATTCTAGAGGTTATTTATTTAACTTCCAACAACACAAAAAATATATAATTATATTTTTTGTGTTGTTGGAAGTATATAACCGACCGTAAAATATACATTGACAAACTACACCAGAGCCTGGGGGAACCGGTAGCACCGGGAAGACTGCTGGACACAGCACAGATAGAAACACAGGTTACAGAACTGACATCAAACATATTGAGCAGCTATAACTCCGCATGCCCACTGAGTGAATCTGCCCCGCGGCAAGGCCAACACTGGTGGGGGCCTGAGCTTGAAAGGCTACGCAGAAGGGTAAGGAGACGCTTCAATAGAGCAATGAACACATGCGCGGATGAGGACTGGGAAAACTACAAGACGGCCAAATCCAAGCTAAAAAAGCGCATACGATTCAGGAGCACCGCGTCATGGCGAGGCTACTGCGGGAACATCACGTCTTGTGCACAAGCGAACAGAATAAGGAAAATCCTAGGCAACTCAAATTCAACTGAGCTAGGTTCAATACGCAAAATAGACAACACATACACAACTTCCCCTGCGGACACGGAGAGAACCCTACTGGAAGCACATTTCCCAGGATGTAGGTTCGTATAAGACGAAAGGTGCGAAGAAATGAACTACAATACATCGATCCATAACTGGCGATACGCTGAACAAGTAGTAACATACGAAAAGACAAAATGGGCAGTAAACACCTTTAAACCGTACAAAGCTCCGGGCCAAGATGGAGTATTCCCCGCACTCCTACAATGGGGCGGGGACACACTGGTCCAGCACCTGGTCAACATCTTTCAGGCCTGTCTAGCGTTCAGCTATGTGCCCTACAGCTGGCGAGAGGTAAAAGTCATATTTATACCGAAACCAGGTAAAAACGACTACACTGACGCGAAGTCCTTCAGACCAATCAGCCTCACATCGTTCTTCTTGAAAACATTAGAAAGGTTATGTGACAGAGAACTGAGGGATGGAGCGCTTAAGAACATACCACTACACGGAAACCAACATGCATACAGTCAAGGCAAGTCCACTGAATCGGCCCTACATGCCGTTGTGGGGAAGATAGAAGTGGCCCTCAAAGACAAAGCAATCTGCCTAGGCACCTTTATCGACATTGAAGGAGCCTTCGATAAAACCAACTTCTCCAGCATACAATCAGCACTGAGGAGACACGAAGTGGATGAAGTGCTCATCAGCTGGATTAGCAACATGCTAAAATTAAGAACTATAAAAACAACAGCAAATAAGACCCCATGACGGACAACAAAGACGGAACTAGTAATGTTTACAAACAAAAGACTACTGGGTAACTACCTACTACCCAAACTCTTCAGTACAGAACTACAGATATCAACCGAAGTCAAGTACTTGGGAGTAATACTGGACAACAATTTTCTTTTCTTTCTTTTAATTTTTCTTTCTTTTAATGGAGTTGAATTGGAACAAGCATCTGGACAACAAAATTAAAAAAGCCACTATCACCTTCTGGCAGTGCCATAGAATGGTAGGTAAACAATGGGGACTCTCACCCAAAATAACACTATGGCTCTACACAGCGGTGATAAGACCCATGATCAGTTACGGCGCGATAGTATGGTGGCCACGAACCAAACTGACGACCGCAACCGACAAGCTGGACAAATTCCAAAGACTGGCTTGCATGGCAACGACCGGCTGCATGAGGACAACTCCGACTGCGGCCCTCGAAGCGATGCTGGACCTGCGACCCTTCCCAATGTTCATCAGACAGGAAGCGGCGTCAACAGCAGTACGTCTAAACAGAACCGGCCTTTGGAAGCACATGAGGACCCCACATACAGAAATCCTTTATATAATAAGATATAAAGATACAATTGATATATTGATACAATTATATATATAAGATACAATTGTTTGAAGATCCAAATGAAGGACTGAACCCCAGAGAGGTCCGCGTTTTCACCGATGGATCTAAAACAAATTCAGGAACAGGTACTGGGGTATTCTCAGAAGACCTCAATATCAGGATATCAACACCGCTTGGTGACCACAACACAGTATTCCAGGCTGAATGCATGGGCATCAAGTTGGCGGCAGAAGCAATCATAGCGAGAAGAGTAAAGAACCACTCCATTCGAATACTCTCTGACAGTATGTCAGTACTTCAAGCACTGAACAGCTATGACATAAACTCAGGACTCATTTATGAATGCCATCAAGCACTCATGGAGGTATGTATACAAAACCACTTAACTCTACAGTGGATTAAAGGACACAGCGGCTCACGTGGCAATGACGCAGCAGATGAACTAGCCAGAAAAGGGTCGGAGACGGACGCAGTAGGTCCAGAACCCATAGTGTCCCTCCCCTACCAATGGTCCAGAACAACTATACACAAAGGTACAAAAACTTCACATAATAATACATGGACCACCCTTACTTACCCTTGGTTTGTAGACAGGCGAGGGAAGCACCCCCAACGCTCAATGCCAGTCTATCACGAATATTAATTAAACTCAACAGGCAAGAGCTTTGCAATCTAACTGCCGCCCTAACAGGTCATGGTCCATACAATAAACACCTTTTCAATTTAGGTATCACAGACAGCCCTTTATGCAGAGCGTGCATGGAGGGGGAGGAAACGGCTGCGCACATCCTACTACAGTGCTCCGGCGTGGCCAACTACAGGGCAAAGTACCTTGGAGTGCCAAGGTCGCTCCCCAAAGTCTTCAGCAAACCGAGGAGGCTGCTGAGAATCCTGGAGGAGCTTGGGTGGCACGAGTAGGACCCTGCACCCACCACACGCAAAATAGGCGCCTTGACGTCGAGTTGCGGACACTAGCCCGTTACACCAAGTACCAAGTATATTAACAAATGAAGCACTTTTTTGACTTACGTGCTTTAGTCTGCCGACCCTAGATATATCTTACGCTCACACTCAACATAGCCCCGCACTAGGGAAACCCTGTGTCGCGGGTGCCATGGACACACACATAGACAACCACAAATTACACCCAAACTCACGAGAGAAATAAATGTAGGCCATACAAATATTTCTCCCAGCCCGGGAATCGAACCTGGGACCTCTGCGTGGCAGTCCGGCATGGTAACCGTTCGGCCACGGAGGCAGTTAAATATCATAGACTTATTGCAAGAATGAAATATATATTGTAGTACTTGAGCATTAATATGGAACAGACAAGTACACAAGAACAAAGTAAGTTCTAGAATATCTTACCGAGCTTTCGACTGAGCTTTTTTAATATCTCCACTCGCTACTTGTGCAACCAATAAAGTGCCATCAAAAAACACAATGGCTAAGGTATCGGGTACACATGGGTTCCATTGCAATGCTGACACAAAGGTAGATTGACTGGCATCCAATTTGAAGCTCTTCATGGATACATTCTAAAAAGGATATTTTTATACTTTTGATTTTATCAAACATTTTTAATTGGATGCGTGCTATAATGCAAAAACATTTAATTAATTCTCACAGCAGTTTAGCAAAACATAGTTTTAAATTGTAGAATATGTATTTTCAGATTCTTTTTTCCATTAATCATTTTCAATTGCAACTTGCAGTCTTCTGCAAAAAGAATGTATAGGCCGAAGTTGCTATTACATTGAAGAAAATATTTGCTGTTTATAAGTTTTAAATATTTTCTATCTGTAACAATTGTGAAACCTATATACAGAGTTATTTATAAAATATTAACAACCTTGCAGGACTGTATTACTAATATCATAAACAGCAACTTCAGTCCATGACTTTTAACAACTCATGAGATTTTACTTTTGTAGGAAATTAAAAATTGCTCTAAACAGTCATACGTCTGTGTGGTCCAATGCAAAACGCCAGAGCAGGGGTGGGGATTGTTGGGCAGGACGCCTGCATATTTGAACTTACAACCTTACCACCAAATACATATCTAAAAAGTATGAAATAGTACAACAGCAACCTAATAGTTTATTTTTCATAGGTTAATTATTGTTTTGTAAAAAGTCATAGAATAATATTGTTTATGACATTAATAATATAGTCCTGTGAGATAGTAAGAGTGAGAGAGTAGTTTACAAATAACTCTGCATACATAGATGTAGTAGAAGACAAATGTGCATTTTTGTGGTTATTTTACCTGACCCTGAAAATCAGCAACTCTGTAAACATACAGCACTTGACCCCCAGTGACAACTAACAGCTCCTGGTCGCAGCTTACTGCAATGTGTGTTGGCCTTTCTTGAAGCTTAACCACCATATGCTGGGGATCGCTCTCCCTGTTTATCAAATCTCTCAAGTAATACACTGCAATTTAGAACATAGAAATGTTATTTTCTTTATTTAAACTGTTTGTAAAATTTGGTAAAGCAAGATATGTGTATCCAAGCAATATGTGCACCATACTTTGATTTTAATTTATTATCTAGTCTTATTTCATAAATTTATATAGATTAGATGACAATACAATATTTTAGTAATAATAATAAATACAGTACAAGACCACATGAGACAAATAAACTTTGTCTCAAGTGTTCATATGAAACAAGAGTATGATAGCACTGTGAAAACAAGGCTTTTGTTTGTAATGCTTGTTTTGCACAGATTAGACCTCAATAAACCATGTTTATTTGTATAAATTCTCCTCTCACTTATTGAGAAAGTTATTTTGACTGAGTTCTACAAATGTTATATTATTATAGTCTACAATATGTTAAAAATGCACTAAATTCAACCTGGCAGTGTAGGACTGCTATATTTAAAATTGGCCTGCCCTCCCTTTCACAACAGTCTAATCAAAACAAGCTTATTTGTAGATTGTCTTTACCTGATAACATTCCATTAGGTGATCCAACAAAAACAACACCATATTTGCTACTAGACACTACTAAATTATACCCACGGTTTGAAAGAGGGTTGACAGTATTGAACACTTTGATTTTACGCTGAAGTTTGTACAGCAAGTTCTGGAAGATATAAAATATTATGATAACCACTATTATTAACCTAACGTGAGTCTTAACTGCATAATCTAGGCAATATAGAAATAATTATTACTCAAAGGAACCAAATTACAGTATTTGTTTTCAATACGTTAAATCGATCGAAAAGATGTGGTTGTTAAAATAAAGTATTTATAATAAAAAATAACGTAGGTACCGGTTCATCGACTGCATTTGGCCCAAATTGCACATCCATTTTTGCTGCAGCGCATTTGCTGAATGTGCGTAAGGGACCACGGTAAGTAAATTCTAATTTTACAGACTTGTACTATTCTTATTACGATTTTATTAGATTTCAACACGAACATAAAACCGACAAAATTCCTTACAAATTTTGTGTTTGACATTTTTTTTTTTAATTACATCACAAACTTACTAGGGATGCTAGTAGCAACTCAGAGGCGTTACCACAGTTCACTATACTCAGTAATCACAAGTAGCGTTACTCGTACAGAGTCAAGAACACGTCAAGCTTTACACTTGTCTTCACTACCCAAAAACTGGTAGCTGCGAGTAGAGGTGGGCGTTTCAACGAAAAGCACTTAAAAAAGTCTGCTTTTTAAAATAAGCGCATAAGCACGCTTTTCATTTTAAGCGTAAGCGTTGGTCACTGATCTGTTCTATAGATACTTATTAATTACATTTTTTACAACGTGCCTAAGTTTCAAGTAGCGCCATCTATGTTTCCTAAATAAATTAATTCAACGTTGTAAGCTTTTTTAAACATAAAGTCTATGCGCCTAAACGTTTTTCTAAACGAATTTCTAAGCATCAAACTAAAAATCATATAAGTGAAAAGCTTTTTTAACGTACGTTTAAAAAGCGTGCTTTTACAAGCACGCGTTTTAAACGTACGTTTGTTTGTTAAAAAGTAAGCAGATTTTCCATTTCAACGGTTAACAACTACAAAAGTTTATCAACTTATGTTTTTAAACGCTTTTAAACGCCAAAGAACAAAATGTTAATATAGTAATGTTATGATGTCCTAAATAAAAATATAACTTGTTTTTTACAAAAATACTTACTTACCTTAAAACCTTTAGTGGTCTACTGTTGCGTTTCGCTATCAACACAACAACGTTGCAAGCTTTTTTAACATAAAAGTCTATGCGCTTAAACGTTTTCTAAACGATTTTGTTAGCTTCAAACTAAAAAGCATTTAAAAAAGCACGCTTTTTCTTAAAAAAAGCATGCGTTTGAACGTTTACAAAAATAAGCAGTTTTTCCCATCTCTAGCTGCGAGTGCCCTTGTATAGATGTTGTAAATGGCCAGACCTATCTCGGTTTACAAATAGATCATAACTTTAATTGGAGTAGCCATATAGAATATATTTGTAATAAACTGAGGCAATTTTTGGCTAATATGATAATATTAAAGAAAAGAATCCCCTTTAAAGTCAAACTAATGCTTTACACAACTCGTTAGCAGAATCGTATATTCAGTATGGTTTATGTAGCTACAGTCGTACCTTTAACTCATTCTTAAATAAAATATATAACCTACAAGTTAATATTCTAAGACACATTGTATCAAATAAAATCCGACTTCAAATGAAGGATAATGATATTGGTATTTTTAAACATTGTAGAATCTTACCTGTTTATACCCAATTTAAGTATTTATGTTTTTAAAATCTATGTTTTTTGACAACGATCTTAAACAAGTAATAAATCATCCCGTGTGTACGCGGGCGATGGCTGAGGACCGGTTGCTAACGAGTCGCGCGAATAATGTGTACGGCGAAAGAACATCTACCTTCCTTCTTCCCCGACTTATTAATAAGTTACCACTGGAACTACGAAATACCTTAACAACCATTAATATAAAACATAAACTTAAAGATTACTTTGTACAAAACTTAAAAAAATGTGATGAACATTTAATGTAATAAGATGAATGTATTTACCCAATCCTATTAATTTTAGTAACATATATATTATAGATTATTTATACAAATTACTTAAATATTTACACTTAAATATAAACTTCTGCTAGCATGTTCAAATTTATATTGTGTAGATACAGGTCGCATTATGACAAACCTTAGTGGTTTAAAATGCGATTAGAAACATATTTGTGTATTTTGTCCTTTATACAATAAATAAAAAAATAAAAAAAACTGAATGACTTAAATCCAATTCTATAGGTCATATTCCAGAACTCAATGCTCAAGTCAGGACTTGAGCATGATTTTAGTGCTTGAAATCATACTTAAGTCGTGACTTGAGCATTGAGTAGAGTTCGGCCCCCGTAGTATGGCTACGTATGACAGTCGCGACTCGCGCGATAAAATTGTAATAAGCGCGCGCTATTGGCGATCTCAATCAGATCTAATTTAGATACACACGTACAGTCAAGTGCACGTCAAGCTTGACACTTTGAACTTTTGTTCGTTATTATCGTAAGCGGCATAGGGTTGGATTTAAATCTTAAGTGTCAAGCTTGACGGGCTCTTGACCCTGTACGTGCTGCGGTAAGATAACTGCAGTGCTTTTTTACCGATAAAAAAAACTATTTTTATCTGGTTACGATTTTGGTAATTTTTAATCTAAATAAATAATCGAGGATGGCAATTCAGCTCATTGAATAAGTTCAAGTTTTAAAAATGGCTCGGTCGTTTTGCGCAACGATTTCGCCACAACCCGTTAATGTGTGAAATTATTATTAATAATTTCCATTTTAACTACTGTTGGGTAATTTTCCGAAAAATTTCAAATAGTGGAATTTTTTCGTAAAAAATCCCGATAAATTGGAAGATATAATTCCGAAGGCTCATATAATGTTCTGCGTTTAGAAATATCTTTTAAAGCATTATTTAGCATGAATTATATGACAAGCTTGTTTATTTAGAAATCACTTAGAAAGAAAAACGAGATTCAAAATGATTTTACAACAGCGTCAAAAACCTCCAACAATCTTTTTCCATCCTCTAAGCAACAATCACACCACCACCACCTCTTGTTGGCTCCATCGTTTTCGTTCAGTAACTTCAACTTTTGACAGGTGTCAACGTCAAATGTGGTAGTTAAAAAATAGGAGAAATATTGGAAAAAAATCTGGAAAAATATTTATTTTTCTCGCCTATAGATAATTACTTGATATTTATGTAGTAGATGCTAGCGACATAGTGTCGAATCAAAAATATCGATATTGTACTCATGAGTAGTATCGCATAAAAAGTATCGTACTCATAAAAGTATCGAAACAAAAGTATAGGTACTTTTGTCCTGCAGATTTTCTCTACTTAAAGGCGGAATGAAACACATGAATTTGTCTTTGTTCATCGACGTATGATTTTTAATTAAAACAAATAGTAAAAAAAAATTGATTAATTCAATCAATTGACCAATTCAATCAATCGTCATTTCACATAATTTGTGTTACTTAAATTTTCAATTTCCCACTCCTCTGTACAATTACTCAAAAACAAAAATGTATATGGTGACCATTGACTTATAAATAAATGGACGACGGGTCTAATACAAAAACCACGAAAAAAATGTCCCAAGTCAACCTATTCGAAATTTAAATTGTTATGTCATCGCAGTATCGCGCTGTCCGTAGAACAAATGAAGACTAAAGCGGAGTGTCGCGCTCTGTATACGATTTTAGGGCCTTACAAGTGTGGACACTTTTTAGCGCAGACCCGACGTCCATATAATTGTAAGTCGTATGGTGACGGTCTGTTTCTCGTTTTTGATACAGTATTGCCTGCTTTTTAGAACTAACGTTCTGAAGAAGGGACAAACTTCTTTTAAACAGGCAAATGGTGGCATATAATATACAGCCAAGTAATTTGTGATAAAATTTTCTTATTTAAAAATATCGCTAGGTGCCTTGAATTATAGTATGAGGTGTCATAAGTAGGAATTATTCAAAACGATACGATACTTGTCAAAAAGTACAAATACTTGTAAAAGTATCGAGCACAAAAGTATCGGTATCGGAGGGAAACGCACTCGATACTAAAAAGTATCAATCGAATATCGAAATTTTTCCGTCTACTAGGGACCCGTGTCCCTAG